AAGGCGGCCAACCTAGAGTAGTAACGGCTTTTGACCAGGGCTTTCAAATTAGTAAGGTACGCCACATGATAGGTTGCCACGTTTCTGGGCAGCAGAAGATAAGACAACGTTGTACTCAAAATGAAGACTGATCGTGAACATCATATACTAAACTCGATACACTTCAGTCCACAGAAGAAGCGTCAGATAAAAAAAACCCGTTTACCTCCTACGGAAACAGTCGACCACCACTGTAGAGCAGCACTACTTTAGTACCATAAGGACAGCACCGTTATTCTTCTTAACTTCGATTCTAGATTCCAATCCAAATATACAAGTCGCATCAGCCCCATACTTTTAGGGTTGTCAGTAGTGGATAGAGCACTAAATTATGAGTGAATTTTCAAGAAGACCTTCCCTTCCCGAGTGGTGAAAATTGTTTTGTACTTACGCTGTGGATAAGAAGACATCCGCTAGTAGATGCACAGAAGACAAAGCTGATGTTCATTTTTTTTATCGAAGAGGTTTCTCTAACATTGGAACAGACTTTTAGGCATAGAATTCGTATAAAAGAACAACACTATTTCAAACCAATTTGTTGGTTAGGAAAGTTGAAGTACGGTTTAAAAACGTAGGCATGTGCACACGGACAGACGACATCAGTATGCTTGCTATTCTACCAGCTGAACAGATTTCAACCAGTCAACTGCAGCTCCATCTGACTCAGAACAATAGAGTACGTGTGGCGTGATCTGTTTGCGTATGTGGAATGTGGTCCTTAACCTGGTTCTTGGACTAATTTATCTAAGCCATGTGCTTTATGCTGTCATCAATTTCCCCGGAAATCAATTTCTAAGGACATGAGTACGTTATTGCGTAGCTTTCCGGTTTCCCACATCATGGAACAACCAGAATGTTTCGATATTAGCCAACCGATTATGCAATCTTATTCACTGACTGGGTATATCTCCTTCGTTTCCCAATTTTTGGTGACCGACACTGTGGGAGCTTTAGTCCATGGTTTATGGCTAATAAATTGAAATGAACTCCCGAAAAAGTACCTTTCTTTTTATTTAATAACAGATATTTTGCAAGTTGTATCCTGGTGACTCTCTCTATAATGGGAATTCGATGTGAAGATTACGTGGTGACGAGAATCTGGAGAGCATGCTTTTGCACTGCCTGAAAATACAGTGTTCACCTATGCGCCACGGCACAGGGAGACCGTGCCTCTGTGGTGGCTTCCAATTCGACTGTCTGTGGAAGAGACCACAGACATCGTGTGCGAAATGAGCCCTGTGTGTGCATCTCCCACAGATGAGGATTGTCACATACATTTACTTCCATGCGTATTAGATTTTACCGCGGACCTTCAAACCCAACTACTGATTTAGCTATCCATGGCCATGTATAAGTCAAGCTTGACATCGGAAACTCAACACCAGCAATCTCAAATAAATACCATAACATAGTTATCGATTAAAAGGTACGGTTGCAAGGAGTACAACAATTCATTAGCTTTGCTTTGCGATAAAAAAGCCACACTAGTGAGTGTTTTTAAAAGCACGATGTTCCAGGCCGTTCCATGAGAAAATAGTTTTCAACTGTGCCGCATCTGCGGAACATCCATCAGCAATTCTATACCTCTTCATCACAGCGACTCTTCCTTCCTGAAAAGCAGCCTTGTTTGTTCTCGAACTAGTTAGGTGGTCAGTTTAGCTAAGAAAGTTTAGTCCGTCTCACCAATTTTCGGTAGAGTATATGCAAAATACGAAAGTGCATAGATGGAGACGGTGAAGAAAAGAAGATGGTGAAGAAAACGAGTGGAAACACAACTGATAGGAGGGCCCTATTTCAGCTAAAAAGCGGCAGGGTTGAGTGACCTTCAGCACCAAGTAGAATACCGTTCACTGATGTCCAGACAAACTTTTATAGGGTAAATGAGTAGAAATATCTTATATCCTTTCACAACCTTGGGCGCGGCAATACACAAAAAATGGCCCGGAAAAACGGACAGATTTAGGTTGATTTCTTCAGGATACGTTCTCTAACACGATACAACTGGTGGGTCAGGGAGCTGAAGACCACAATTGGCTGGTGCTGAAGCCTTCGTATAACGTTATGAATACTAAAACCACCAGAGGCGAAGCCCCCGATAAGGAATACACAACAGTTCCTCAATGTCAGAAGTTGATGAAGAGACTGTCAGTAATACTGCAAACAGGCTTTACAGTCATGAACTATGAACCCGGGTTCCCGGCGCCTGCATTATTGATCGCTTGCTGAGGTGAAATAACAACGCTAGCATTTCTGCACTTGAAACAGTTCTCGGCATACGAAAAAGTAGTTCGATTCTCTTTGTTAACGTCAAGCGCCGGCGAAGGTTTATACTTCAGCAGAGCATAGCATAGCTAGTTCAGACACACGTATCAAAACATTTCGGCCTTGAGTTGGCTTGATGGTGTTTCGGACTTGGGCATCTTTGGGAAACTTTGGGACAACTATATTACATTAGATTTCAGCAAACAGCCGGATCAGCTGAGTTCAGGGGATAGTCAGCTGACACGACACACCCTACTGGAAGACAGACAGTCATTTGTGTGTTTCTTCGTTCAGTGAGAACCACATATAAGTAATTCCAAGTCATGCACACATTGTTTTCTTCCACCGATGACGGGGACGCTTTGGTTAAAGTACATGACTGACATAACTAGATATGAAGAAAAGATGCTACACAATTAGCTCATCGGAGGCGTCGTGATGAATTGAACATGCGGGTTGGTTTTGCATTCATAGTAAATCGTATCACATTAACTTTCAGGTCAGCTGGTGAGTAGTTTTTGCCTTATCTTGTGTTGTGACACACAAAACTCAAGGAACATGGTGCAAGATGTTCCAACAAGAAACTGAGTGTACACGTGCTACTCCGCAAAACTGGTGGTCGATTGTCGTACGCTGACTTTGTCACAGTGAACTGAATGACCAACGATTGTGTTCGGATGAACACAAGGAGCAACGAACAGAATAATAAATAACTCGTTCTGTCGAGAAAAAAAACATGATCTGACTATGGACCAATGATCACTCAACATCCTGAACCCATAACCGGTATAAATGATAAAATCTGTTTTGCTAAAACACCTTTTTGATGCTTTAGCTGCCTTGTCACCTGAAGGGAGCACGAAGACTGCGGTTCTGGCTAAAAACCTAAGTCTAGGCAGTAGCAGTAGAGAAGCAGAGGTTGGGTTAGAAGGACAGAACTTCCGGGCAGTAAATCACACCTTCAACACTGAGCTACCTTAGGCTCTTGATTCCAAACTGTCGGATAGAAACGTTCTTGTGAAACACGATGCCCATAATTCGTCGGTTGCAGACTCAATCCATGAATTCACGTCCATTATTCAGGTGACCGAAAATACATGTAATATACTGGTTCTCTTGCTGCATGCTTATGAAAGGATATATGCCTCTGATCCTCTTGGCCAGTGATGGTAACCAAATTCGAGGATGAGGATGGGCAGGATGGGTCCCGGTTTTTCTATTATTCCTGTCTGTGAGACCAACCCTACACTTATCACCTCAGTTTCCTTTCGTAAAGTATGGCATTTCATTTCTAGGGTTAGTCAAGCAATTTTTATATGTATAAGGCAAAATATGTGACTCATAATCGTGGCCCCTTCAATTACCATCAGTTATTCTTAAGCGATATGCAAATTAGATAGGTCTTTATTCGATTACGAACTGACGGATATTGGGTCTACTGAAGTCTCAGGTAGAGAGTTGTTAATGTGCAAAATTATAACTGGAAGCGTATGGGTTGCTGTATAGGTTGCCACGAGAGTAATTTGAATTGCGGTAACTGGGAAAATAGACGTAAAGGATGGGAAACAGTGACGGTTTGTTACAAAACTGAAACAAGAACAGCTGATCTGGGAAGCAAGCACGGAACACCCACCGTTCTAGTGAGTTTGTCACGTTCAAGGGACTGCACAACTATCGATTTGGTGAGTTTTCCGCCATCTCTCAATGTCAAAAGTCCACAACAACGTGAATGTGGGCTCCGTTTGGACCTTTGATACACGTTATTATCCGCTCAAATGCGCCTTTTTTCTAGCAAAATCTCGAATTTTCGAACAAAGGCCCACCCATGTGAACCACTTTAGGATTAGCCATTGGTCTATTGTTACTTCAGTCTACTGAGTTAATGCTAGAAACTGCTCATTATTGCCTAACGTACCTCATAAATGAAAATTCAGTGCTCCAATGCATCTTTTGAGGCAGTACACACGCACGGCTTGCTTCTAGGAGACCGCTCATGTGGGAACGTTTTTAGGCTTCACTGATTAATAGCTACCCAGTGAACAGCTGCACGTCATTTTCTCATGACAGATCTTCCACTCTGAGAGTAAAGCCTGATGAACACGGGGGTGGACATTGTTGAAATGGGACAAACTCCCTACGTCGTATTCCTTTGGCGTTAGCATACTGAGTTGAGGCTAGGTTCGTAAGTATGCAAAGTTCTCGATGTGATATGACTGGGAAGGGGAACTCGCGTCGAATTCAGCCGCTGGCCTCTGCACTGCCTCTACCAATGTCCAACACTTTGGTGTTAGTTCCCCATTCTATGGACTGGTGATCCATGTGGGTCATAACTGAACGATTGTTTTTTTTGCACAACGGGAGTTCCGACGAATAAAACAATCTGATCCTCATGCTTGCAGTTGAAACAAATTTAATGTGACCCATAGTTTGGCATCGGTTACTGTTTCCATGTGGTCAGGAGAACAGCTTTTCAGCTTTGAACATCTTCCCGTCCAGTGTCGACCACAATGCACCATGCTATTCATCTACCCGCGGTTCATTTCAGTGAGAAACGCATCTGATTTTTCATGAGAATGGAGGATACACTCCCATACTGGTTAGCTAACCTCCGAAATTATCAACCCCATTTTTGAATTCAGTTGTCCCAACAAGCAAACTATCAGTCAAGCTGCAGTTCATATAAACAAAGCTGACTCACTTTACATAGCGAACTGTGGTACGGCAGATGAGCATAGTATTCCGGTGCGATCTTGGCAAGCAGAGGAAGTGGGTTGACGGAATGGAGGGANGTGTTCCACGTGGTATCCCAAATTGTAAATCAGAGGATTCCACCAGCCGTAGTACGAGTGAGTGGCCTGCTGATCTGCGAATAGGTAGTGTTCGCTAATAAAGTGTCCGGTCATCGGATGCGGTCCAAGTCCCAAAAGCGTGCCAACACCAAGGTAGGCGAGCGCTTGAAAGCCCAGGAATCGAAGCACAACCAGATCGAACACCATCTGGACGAGAAAATTGACTAATTCCCAAACGGTGATTGGACGAGGTTGTTTGATGAAAGGTCGAAACGCGTACAGCAGGGGATGCAGACATAACCAAATAAAGCGGCAGATAGGGTGACTAAATAATTTTGCCTCAATACGTAATGGCATGTCGGCGTCAGCGTCCTCATGTCCAAGCCACCTAGAGCGGATAAAGATGACAAGTCCGGGAGGTACTAAAGTTCACCTGAACATGTACGGTGATGTAATATCCAGCATAAAATAAAATAATCTCCAATTTGGATTCGTACTAATGCCTATGAAGGAGAGAACAGTCCCACTGATAGGACAACCTTGGCTGATAAGCTCCGCTCACACCGGCCTCAGCGACCGCTAAAATTTCAAGGTGGTTGAGCGTGGCAACTTCGAAAACAAAGACAACATAGACGAATCACTTTTCGCTTGGGTCAGATCAGTTGTGACTTTTCAACACAAAGGTCAGCCATTAGGGCACTATTTCGCCAAGGATCCTACTGCCTAAATCTGGTAATGCATTGAAATTATGTTCGAAAACTGCTCGGGTGGGGAGTATTAAACATCCACTGAATAATGTGTCCAGCACCAAATGCTGTGTTGGTTGGGACATGTGCTGCGTATGCCGAACCATCGTTTACCAAAAAGAGTACTGTTTTCCATGCCCAATTCAGAGTGACGTAAACGGAGAGGTGGTCAACACTTGACTTGGCAGAGAAGTGTGAAGGAGATCACGAAAAGACTGGGTGATGTCGGTGCTACTCACACTCCAGAATGAGGACCGCGTGATCCTCATTGTGTCTGGTTGGAGACATTACAAGATATGGTTGCCAACCGATGTCAGTGGCGTTCTTGTGTGAATGTCTGGGGGTATAGGCACCTTGGAATGATTGTGGTAAGCTAGTACCAATTCCCTTCCCCGCCCACCTTTACTCTTCCCTTTACAATATGGCTTTCAGATAAATCATGGTTGTACGGCAGTGAAGCATCGGTGTTCAACAATGATGTCATGCTGTCGATGATGATGACGATTATCAGCTGTAAGAACCACGTACTTGTTATACAGGGATTATAGCTGCCACAGTTTGGTCCACTAATGATGTGGGTATCATTATCAAGCACAGATATGGTGACCGGGTGTATGCAACCTCCGTCCCAATGAAGATTCTAAACGCATTCACTGATGCTGCTTTACGTACTTGCTTTATGAGAAGTCCCTCTTGGGGAAAAAGTCGGTTCACAGTATAATGGTACAAATCACTGCTGCCGGTTTGTTAAATTTCTCCAAGTTGTACTTCAGAATCAGGGTTTCGATAGCGAAGCATTCTGATCATCCCGTGATGGCACCTGTATAACAGCCCATCTAACTCACCTCATCATCATGTTTGGTTTAACCACCTGTTCAAACACCTACTAATTCACTGATGTGAGCAATGAATGGAGGAAAACTGTCCGTATTTTTTCGTGTCCAAGAGCATGGTACCCCAGCCGATATCTGGATGCTTTGACGTTTGTGCTGAAATTCTGCCAACTACATTGCTAATAAACCAATGCAACTGTTGAAAATCACCACAATGTCTACCCCAGAGATGGATGAAAACAAGGACGCTTCGTAGTTGAAAGTGACACAAGTCAGAATAAAAACGACCGATAATGCAGTGGCAGCAAAACCACTGGACTCATCTGGAAGAAATTTTGGAATATGATAGGTTGGAAATTATTGGTCGAACCAATCAATGTCTGATCTGCAAGAGATATTTCGATGGGAATCCCTGGTGATTACACCCCTAAGTTGTCACCAACGGGTTTAGTTAGAAAGTTTTAACCTCATCCTACAGATGGTTTGTATAATGCAATCCGAATATGGCGGGTCGCAGGGTTTCTGCTTTGCTCGAATCATTTCCATTGTTACATTTTGTAACCCATAACTAAGGACTTGGCGAAAGTCCATGAAGCCTTTTGAAACAGCAGAGAAGGCTGTTCGGCGCGGACAGTGCACGGTGTTAGACTATTAGCAATTGCATGACCGTCCTCGTCTTACTTCCGTTCAGCCCGGAGGTGAAAGAGTAAATCAGCCAAAACTAGGGTTCATTTACCCTCCAAACTACGATAAAACATGAATCAGAGCTTGAATGAGCTTGTTTGATCTGAATAAACTTTTTTCTGTGTACGTAGCAAGACGCCTCAATATCTGAAATAACGGTTTGGATACGCCCGGAAATTTTCAGGCATGGGAATCAGGATTAGCTGATATAACATCAGCAGATGTAGAAGTGCGAAATACAATAAAGCTTTCAGGTAAGATACGACGCATATGCTTGATCTGAGGTCATTTGCGCTCACGCGCAGCTTATTGTGACATCGCAATCCCACAGACTGGTTTGTTTAGGCACCCTGACGCGTTCGATACCTGGGATTACATATCATCAGCAGGTGACGACACCCAAAGTGTAATAACATTCCACTTGTGAGTGCGCTCGGGCGGCGGATATCCAAACCAAATGAGAAGAACAATTTCCTAATGGGGAAAGCATGTCACCGGAATACGCATTCAAATGGACGAATCTAAACCGCTCATCTAAGAAACTATTTTACGCATCGTGTTGTAATGGGGCAGCAGTGGATGTCTCCCGACTGTTAATAGATAGATTAATCGTATTCATCGGAGTAGGATGCTCACAGTCCAGGAAGCGTCAATATGTACATTTCTATTGGAGAGCACAGAGTGATCCCTGTTACGGTTCGACCACGCATTGAGCAAACAATGAGATATGCGGACCGTTACAATATTCCATCCCCAGCTATGTTGCTCGATCCAGACTCCTAGCACGGCGGATAGTGAGAAGACGAAAAACCTCGGACACAAACTCTAATGATCCAAGAACACGCGATCATGGGAAAAAATGACAATGCATATATATATTCATAGTTCGACCTTAAAGATGCCGGAAGTTCGCTAGCACACATAAAAATACAGAGTTTTTTGGGGGGATATTGATATCCCCAACAAATCCCAACAGTGTTTAGGTGTTTTTTTAGTAGTCCAAGAAACTGCATCTAAATATCCAGAACGTTTTCTCAAAAGAAGATGCCAGTAGGATGCTCATCCCTGTCAAAAATAGCCTACCTTTTTTGGCAGTGTGTTCCACTGAAGTCAGTAAAAAGAAATCCTAATGAAGACCAAAATACTCCCACAGGTAAATGGGCAATCAAACTTAGGGTGGCTCGGTCCTGACGGCAGGAAAGATCGACAAATTCAGGGACTATTCGTTACAGTCACAGAAAGTTCCGAGTGAACTGAAATCCGAAAATCTCAGTGGATATCAGTTTACTCTGTTGCTCCATCCGACTGGGAACAAGATGTCATTTTGATTTCGCCAGTGTGCCATAATTTACCTAGGTACTAATTCGAACTTTCCAGGTGACCCCATACTGTTCAGTTTATCGAAATCTATTTGTGTTTTCATCGCGCTTGTAACTCGGGGTAGGAGAATACCTTATTGTCCTTCCCGAGTACTTCCTCAGATCTATATGGCTTGCTTTTACTAGCCTGAGTTGGTCTGCCTTCGGTGTCAAAATCAGTTCTGATATTTTCATCCAAGATGGCAGCAAAAAATTTCTAAAAGCAAAGGTATTTTATTCAGTAAAGTACACCATTTTGTCTTGATAACTTTGTTCAGTTTAGGATGAAAATGTGCGATAGAGTCTACTCAATACCTTCTGTGGTTGAGAGTAAAAAGACCGGTTTCAAATGTATAAACTAGGGAGCCAAACGTATGGCGATGATGAGTTTTTCTTGAAATTCCAGGTAGTACCTTGTTTTACGTTCACAAGACTGCGTTGGAGCTCGTGTTTTATGGAGGACTTTGGTAGAAAAAATGTTGAACACAATGCGTTGGAGACCTCCATGTGCCTTCTGGATTAGCTCAGTTTTTTCAGCCATTTTGTGGTTCTCAAGAATTATACGAGACCGGTTGGTGTAATTTTTCATTCGGAGTTCTATGGTGTTGATTGATCGAAAGAAAATTGCAACTACGAAAACTCTCCAAGAAATCAACCCGCAAAAAAATAGACCGACTTTTCTCAATTCACTTTGATACTGGTGGCCCTTCAAGATGTAAATGCACAGACGATATATGATCACAGCTTGCAAAAAAATTGGCAAAAACATTTTAAAAACAAATATGCTTATCTGAAAGGAATGAAAGCCACAGGTTCAAAGTGGTTTTGATTCACATCAAGTCGCGTTTTTACGGGCTGTAGAATTCGCTGAAATAGAACCCATAAAGCATACGGCCGAAGGAGAAATAAATAGCGGATGCAAAACGCGAGATTGTTGTCAGCGCTCAAACTTGCCGTGGGAAGATTGAATTCTTTACTCCAGTTTACTTCACAAAAAGCAGTCATCGTGATCATCAGAGACAACAACATCCATGTTGCCACTGATGTTTCACTGCCGCACAACCATAACGTTCACCTAATTATGTTTAAAGCCTTAGAGTGAAAAGAAGAGTAAAAAGCTGGCAAAACAGGAGACCTGTCATAAGCATTTTGAAATTCCTGCACCTTCAGGCGCTCAGTTGAAAAGCTGGAAGTAAACTGACAGCACAAATGCCCCTGACATGGATCATCCACCATTTCAGCCAAGCACAGACGTGATCATGGGAACCACATCCTGGAAGACATACAACACCAACTACACTTAGGCTCCTCGTAATATCTTTCGACCCATTTAGTCAAGTTATAGGTTGTCCACCTAGTGGTTTTCGACATCCTGGAAGAGGCACAGAGAACAACGCGCATCTCGGTAGACGCTGTTTCAACATACATAGCACAGACGAACCAGCTGATGGCGTTGGAGTAAATGGTGTTTCGGCATGCGTAGCACATGACCGAGCCATCATAGTCGATGGTGTTGGATGTTTTTCCGGATTGAGGTGCCTGCAGCACAACCGAACACCCGTTTTCTAATTACTTCGTTACTAACACGCTGACACCATCCAAGGGCAGCCACGCTTCTGAGGTATGGGTGACAAAAAATCTTTAGAAATCTCACATCGTATGCCCTCAGAAGTCATGTTTCAACAACCATACAGCAATACATCCTTTAACGTAGTATGGTACATTCGACCTTCGATACTCAGTAATGTGCCCTTTTGATGCCATGGATTTTTGGAAGTCTGGCACTTCATTCAGAGGCCCGGCAGACAGCTATATGTATAGGCTTCAAGGTTAGACGCGATAACAAAAGCCGCATGGATTTGTACGGCTTGTAGGTAGAAGCACACCCACTGTGAAATAGTTACGAGATTGCTGGGGTATCACCTGATTATTCACCCCAACATAAGCAGTGCAATAAGAGGAAGCACATTTGTAGTAATTTACTCAAGAGAAGTGTAGCGTTCCGCCACAAATTCAAGGAATTGCTAAAAGAGGCTAAAACAGTGGTAAAAATGAGCTCGTATTGATGCACACTGACATGCGATCTGCTCATAGTTATCAAAAGGCCTCTGCATATTTTATTCTCCCTGTCCTTGTAGATTTGTGTAAACACCAACAGCTTTCATGTGGGATCATCTTCGGCTGGGCTCAAGCCGCGGAGTGTACCGAACTGTAGTTGGCGAACTAGGCACAGTCGTTCACCGTCCAACCCAGTGTCAACGGTCAAATCGGTCTTGGATGCCAACGAAACGCATACTAGAAGTACTCATTCATCGTATCCCTAAGAAGGACACGAGAAGTAATTGTACACCGTTCGCGAACTGAGTGAGAAAACTGGCGGGGACGCTTAGATCCGTTACTCTTTTCCAAGGGGAAACAGCCTCCTGAAGTGATACTCTATAAGCCATTGTTTAGTCAAATATTGACTCGTGCAGTGGTAGGTGCGCTTGCAAACTGACGGTTCAGTTTAAATTACTTCGGCCGGATGGTAAAAACTGCAATCTGCATTCACTGGGTTTGAGATTTTCTGGATTCAACTTTCAGTGCTTATTCTTCATTTCCTGAGGAAGAACCGTTCGATCCAACCATGAAATGATTTCAATTTCACGAATAAACAGAACATTCATTGCCACTCAGCTTGCAGTTCAGAAAGATGCATCAGGATACCTCATAAGGCACTTTAAATTGCGAAAGTCAAGCTGGTGGTGCATTCACACTAGCTTCGAGGCAATGCTATCCAAGGCTCATAGAAATCGCTCGTGCGAACCCGGACGTCCGAACAAACTTTAATTTCCAGTGTATCGTCGACAAATATCACAAGAAAAACACCAAAGAAACCCGTTCTCAGTAATACATCTTCTGGCCGAGATGAAACCGAACATAACTGAACCAGTCTCAGCGAAATTAATTTGTCGAGTATGCGCGCTAGTCGGATTAAAATCTACCCAACATAGTTAACTGCCAGGTGCAGTTAACAAGATGTCCAAGCCAAGCCAAACGCGGGAAGACGTCGAGATAACAGAAAAAGTGCAAATCTATCCTAAGCCGCTTAGGCAATGGGGAGCTTAAGATGAACAAATCGAACTCATTTCGTTAATCAAAGCGTCCACTTTGGTCTCCACCTCGGCTTTGGAAAATATTCTGAACCAGTGAGATAAAAAACAGTGAATTTTGATTCACCCTATACTAAGACATCGTAGTTGCGTTGGTATCGACCGTTCAGGCAGAATTTTTAGTTGACGGTGAGGATGGGCGAAGGTGTGGTAAACTTGATGGCTGCCCCACCTAATGGACATCCCTGAGGGCATATAACAGCTCGGTTCGTGGGCTCATGGCAAGCGTCTTGGTTAATATTTCAATCTGGTCGATACTAATTTAAATGATAGTATTCAGAATTCTCAGTGTCTATATATGATGTCTACGCTGTTCCTTCGGCCACTATTTAACGGGTGGTGACCTGGGGATCACGAGTTGTGAGTCGGTATACATTATTGGGCGGGGCACAAGTGAGACACGCGATGTGTTAAGCGACGTTAACATTAGGCTGCGCGTTTGTTTCCTCTCTCCTCTTGCAGATGAGTGATAGTCTTCTTCAGCCACTCATTCTATGAAGTCCAAATTTTTCCATATCGACCCAGTTCATTTAATTGCCATGGCCTAATGTACCAATATATTTCTGAGTTTCACCAGATTCATTTTTAAGCTAAGTTGCTCTCTTTGTACATCTCTTCGACAGAGAATACCTTGACACGATCGCTCTGGCCTGTCATCATGGCGTCCAACCTTGATCACAGTAGTATGATCAGGAACACGTTGAAAGTACGGAAATGATCGTACTGCTCATTGCGCGAAACAGAGAATAAATGGGTATCCGAACGGACAGCTCCACCAGAAAGCCGCGATTATGCGGGGAATTAAGACTGTTAAGTGAAGGAATCACTAAGCATATGATTGTTCTCCTTTCAAACTGACTGAAGCTGCGTTCTAGCTTGGAGAAGGTAACTGCTATCCTTACAGGACATTAGTTAAAGCGAAAGACAGTAAGGTGAAATCTCAGCATGCCAGCAGCTAATGAACTTAGATTCCGCTGTGCAGTACGGATCGTTTGAACCCAGGTTTGATAAAGAAAGCTTGCTCTATCAATATCTGTATATGAAATATCNATTAATATAATGTACTTTGCTTTAGTAGTTTTCTGAAAAACTTCTTCCATTTGTTCTCCTTGCTCTGTTTCCCGAGATAACCTTTTACAAACAAGAGCGTGTGGGGAAAAACACTGTTTTCTTTGGAAGGCGGTTATCTGGTACGTATATTAGATACTTCGAATACCTTAAATTCATAAGATTGACCTGCTGGTCTGGTGAATCCGACACCTTACGACCGATTTCCATAAAGACATCTTGTTGCAAACGAACGCTTTCCATATCATGAAAATGGTGGTAAAACGCCTGGAGACTTCTGACACCTTAAAACAAAGGATGCCAAATTGCACAGCCATAGAGTGACTCCACAGTGTAGTTTGTTGGAGAAGGCCCTTTAACCGAACTGAAACTGGTTTCTAGTGCCAAAGACGATGATGATGCGTGCGTCAACATCACCTGTTGACAAGTAGTTGACAAGTGCGCCTCTCAACAAACTCTATCGTTTGATTCTGAAGTTTGATATGGGCACATTAGAATTGACAGTTTGAAACGACGTTCATCAGATCGACTTTTCGTATGCAGAGTGGTCATTTAGTCACCATGTCCCGAAAGTTTCACAGGCGTTGCTTGGAAGAATCCTTATCAGAGTGAACACGTAAGGACTGAAAAGCATGTTCGCTTTGAGGAACGATCTAGTCCTGAGGATTTCATTATTTGGTTGGTATGGTACAGGCTTTGTTCAACATTAATTCGAATGATGATAGCAACTTGATTTAGCAATATGAGCAACCAATAGTTCAGTATATCCGAGAGAACAATAACTGTAGAGATCCGGTGATTTGAATAATTCTGAAATAAGCCACCACATCGATCCGATTAAGGACGGTTGCTAATGGTAACATTATAACCATCAGTCAAATGTGCGCAAAAAAAGCACATTGGTATAATTCGAATGGCGGTTAGCAAACACATAAAAAACCAACCTGTGGTGCGCCTGATGGTACTTCTTATACGAGATCGCCAACGGAACGGCCATGGGCAAATTGCAGAACAAAGATAAGACCCTGTTTGCTGTGCCGTATTTGTGTCCGAAAGCCAAATTGTGCCCGACTTCGTGAATCGCACAGCCCAGCGAATGATTCACCGTCCCACTCACCACGTAGGTAAGCACAAGCCAAACGAACCAATTTGGCTGATAGATTGAGATAAGTGTGGCCATGAAAATTTGAAAGATCACCTCTGCTGTGATATACAAGGCAACACGTGGATCGGGTCCCATAAGGGTTTTGATTTGGGGATACTTGGACAGTATTTCCTGGGGGAATAAACAAACGGGTCATTTTACTGGGTTTGGTAAATTTGTCGAAAGCTGAGGTTTAGCCGATTCTTTTTTTAGTTCGTTTGTAGAATCTGAGTCCATCTCTCCCAGTTGTCATTTTCTCATTTATTATACAAACGGAACAAATACACGAACACCCATACCATTTGAAATGAATTGCACTCATTCACTGCAATTTAAACTAGAATTCGAATTCGATATACACGCAGCAAATAGGGAAAGCTCGGAGATAAACAGAACACGCGAGAAATTCGGTTAGAATATTATGGAACAGAACCAAATAGGTGGTGAAATCATAAAGTTTGTTAAATTTAATAGATTTTTTTTTCATTGTCTGAAGAGACCTTACTATGAAATTCCCAGAATCTAAACAGAGAACTTTTGACTCCCATGTACACACAGTAAGTGGGATTCATGTGAGTGTGACCCCTAATCACGCTCACTTGATTCTGTTGATTGGTCATTTTGTCGGTCAACAATACTGTCACGCAACTGGGGTGAATAGGCAACCTGAGACAACGTTGGCTCAGACATCGTGAAAGATATTGGGCGCCATATGTATAATAATTAGCCAAGTTTTTGGAATTCCGACCGGGTGAAATAGGGTGTGTCTTTATTCCGAACGTGTCGGTTGCCATGATCAACCTTTGTGAAGAGTTTTTACAAGTAGTCGAATACACGCAAATAAAACTAGACTGTGTTAGTCATAGTGGGTTCTGATAAATTTACCTGGTGCCTTTAGCTACATGGTGAGTGAACTTCCGGTCACAGAAGACACGCCAGATTTCCACCTGATGTGCATTAGAGCATAAACAGTACGTCCAAATCTGTGACTCACGTAGGCTTCAGTATATATTCAAACCATACTTGTAGGTTTCATTAACCTAGGTCCTAGAAACTAAAACGCATTGAACCTTTGTCAACCGCAATGATGAGGTGCCTTCTATCCATCCGGATTGATCTAACCGTAGACTTAACTAGACACATCATATAATTGCCAGGTATGAGGCTGAACAGTGATCTCCGAAAAGAGATTCCAATACGTCCTCGTCAGTCACTATTGACACAGGTTACCATCGGGAGGAACAAACAACTGCTTTCTTACTCATCGCAAACTAGAAGCTTAGGTTAACGGTTAAGCCAGTCCAGATCTTAGGTGATTGACAGTCACGGCAATTGGCATGCACTTCATTCGGTCCTAGCAAATCGCCAATCCTCATCTGAATAACTAACTGAATCAGCTAGGTTCCCGGTGAGTCTTCCTACAAAGCGAAATTGATATGCAAATGGGGGTGTTTATCGAGGTGTTCAATTTGGGTTCAAGTAGAACATAAGGTTCATGGAAACTCGGGGACTGCATCTACCTGATGTGCCCCAAGAAGGGTGAAACCCCTCATGGGCTGTCTAAGAATCCATCTTATTCACTAATCTCATATCTGTTCACAGTCACTAAAATTTTGAGGGAAATGGTATTTTTTGGAATAGTAAGTCCTGTATCTTTAGGTTAGAATAAATTCGATCATGTTGATTTCAGCGTGTAGGATCCTTCCCAAAGCCCGTGTCTGAGTTGCACGCCTTTCGGCCAAGCAACCCCAACAAAACGACCTGTGTTGAAGGACAAACAAACAAAATACACTCGTCAACAACATTTATTCTTTGTACTGCACGTTTTCCTGTACGCTTTGCACAAAAGTCTTCCGAGAGTAGGACAGACCTTCTCTTCGCCCTTGATTAACAAAAATATTCAAAAAGTCTTCCAGTCATACAGCCACTGTTGGCGCTTTCATAAATGTGGAACAGTAAAATGTAGCGAATGAAAATCGGCGCGTGTGCTCACTTATGGAGGGTATTCAGTATTTAAAGGCGTGGGAATCAATATGTGAACCCTAAACAATTTCTAAAGAACCTTTTAGGAGAACAAAATCCATTTTCATAAGTCTTTAATCACATTTTCGCCACGACCACACAGCAAAAAAAGCAGTTCACTCTATCAGCAGCTTCTAAACGGATGAAAAACTGAATCACTCTTTTCATTCTGGTTTTTCTTATCTTTTCCTGATCTCTCTTTTCAAAGTTGAATTTTCTCTTGGACAGGTTTACCGTGCACCGAATCGCTTGCTAAAGTGAACATTTCTTGGCGCGACCCTGTGGAGAGAAATTTGAGCAAAAACCACAGCAAGCTTCGACCTGAAGGGCAAGCACGCTGGCCCATAGGTGGCTGTACTTGTGCCCTCCATCAAATACCACTGTGAGGTGGGATATTTTGGTAGGACTATCAGGTTATTGACAGGAAGGTCCAAGAATACCACCTAGCCTAGTTCGGAGGAAGTCTGGCAGTGTTTTGAAAGATATTGTGACCCATTTTGTCGACTAAATAAACACGAGTTCTTCCCTCAAATTCATCTCCTAGGTCCCGAAAAATCAGCCAAAGACCGCGGAACAGTACCTTCTGATACATCTGAGTCCATTGTCATCATGGTGTGAAACCCCGTTCTATCCGCTTAACAGGGATACGCACATGTATATGGGATTCACTCTGAAGCAGAGTCTGGACGCTTGATTGGAATTGCAGTATAGTCTGATACTCAACTCCAGTAATGTTGAGATTTTATGCTGACCGTTGTGTGAAACTGATAATCCGACCTACATTAAATTATGTGCATTTTAAGTGAAATTTTAAGTGTATTGACCCGAGGAACCGTTAACTCGCGCGTCTGTTCATCAACACATCAAAATCTAAGAGGTAATTTCGGGTAAAACAAACATACTTAACAATAAGAACCACTTGCTCAATAGTGGCACAAGATCCAATTAGTATCACTTTGATGATGTAGACTAAGCGGATGTACGAAACACGTCACTGTTTGGGTCATCTGCTTTATGCCTGTTCTTGTAAACCCACTAGATTCCGATTCAGTTCCAGTGCGGACAGGAATACTGCGGACAACATGTGTCGCTGCTTTCACCATGCACAAAACTTTTGGCTGCTTTACACTGTACCTCCTCTGCCTTGAATCAATAAATAATATGAGAAATTTTCAACTCTGGAATTTATATTCCAAAAAGAAGTCAACCAATACAGAAAAACCAACAAGCTGTGTACAGCTGTTTCAGTTTCGCAGTAGATTGTACCTAATAATCCGCGTCTCAGGAAACTTAAGTTAGATTCATACTTGCGAAAATTCCGGACAGAAATAAGCTAAGGGCGGCAGATCTGTATCATCATTAGTTTGCACTTGGGTTCTACAGTACTATACTTACTACTGTACTATGCTATACTATGCTATACTACACTACAATATACTATACTATAGTACTTAGAGTACTATTCACCTTTTAACGGTAGGGTTCGTTGGTTCTTTTGAAGCATTAAAAAGCCCATAAATAGGTTTTAGTACGTGGCGTCATTTGAATGTCGATAGTGCATAAAAAACTTCAGTTAAATCGAAAAAAATTTGTAAAGTGATTGGAGCACTGATAAACTACTGGATGTACAGTACTTTCGACTACGCAATATCACCAAAACAATCGGTATTTGAGTCCATCGGAGGGATGGTTTATGGAATCCAACTCTTGCAGACGGCATGGGATACCGAGGCTAAGCCCGGCGACTTACGTTCTACCTTCCGTTCTCAAGTTAGTCATCATGTGTTGCCATCTTACGGACAGTTCGTAACCAAAAAGCCCCCATACAAAGAACAAAATCAGGGAGACGTAACTGGTGTGGTAGTTAACCGAACTCGGCTCACCACCGCTCCCCACCAGTTTGATGAATACATACTTTCGCTCTCTCTCTCTCTCTCTCTCTCTCTGCTATTCCTTTGCGGCTAGGCCTGAATGGGTGAAGTACACACAGACAAAACTAATCACGTTGTGTCTACCGCACACGTGGACGCGCAACTAGTCAAGCTGGATTTCCCAACCTGTCCCACTAAACCTTACGGGTCGAATGAGTAGTTTCGTTGCTATGGTACTTTCTAGCATACCTACCCCGAGACATATAGCTTGCAGCTTTAAAACTACACCATTGATTTCGTTCGCCTCAACGGCGGAGAACACACACATCGTTCCATCATGAATAAAGTTTGCTTTTTTTATCATGCCAATTAACAGGAGAGTTTAGTATAACCCAGACAATGGTGCTGATTCGATTAAACTAACACAGTAGCGCTAACGAAGAAATTTGTTTGCTCCGTTCATTGTTTCAAAGAATGAAAGCGCTATAAACGGTGATGAGATGAGTGGTGCTCATCATCACACTATACCACTATACCATCACACTATACAAATTATGGTAGTCGTAAGGATGTTAGCATTTCAAGCCATCTGGATCTACTTCACCATCCTACCGGAAACACAAGAGTATATGAGCTCGGGATCCATTCTAAAGAGATCGTCAACACCCAGTGCACTTAACCCGAATATGATGCACTGAACTGCTCGATCGATCATTGTATATCAGGCCGCTGTAACTATCTGCTGTTGAATGTTCCACAATATCCCTCGCGTTTTTCGTATACAGTCAGTCTTTTCAATGATTGCGATGTTTTTCATCACGAGGTCTTCTGAGAAAAAATGCCTTCAGGGTGCTCCTGTGGATTCAACACGTACGTCTGGTCTGACCAGAAGGAGATCAGATCAAACCACTGCAGAACTGATTAGCCTACGTATAGGTTATTTTTTCGAGATATTACGGTAGAATGTGGAGCGATTTATCGACCTAAATGCACCTTGAAAGTTGATGAACCACTGACATTGGAAACAGAATGCCGAAGGACGACTGTGGTCTCATCAGACCAGTCGCCGATTACCGATAAAACAAGGAAGGAATGCATTATGTTGTCCCACCGGAATAACAGAGGTCAGCGATTGGGGCACGAGAGAAACTTCCCAGAATTATGCGCGTTTTCGTAAGAGTCCCATTTGATTCATCCAACCACAATGAATTGATGGTGCCCATATTCAAAAAAGATACCCATAGTTACTGTGGCAGTCACCGGGTGATTAGCATGGTTTCCATTTTTACTAGACCCATTGATTCGACTATTTGATGCCATCTTACGAAAACAGGTAAACCACATACCCAAGTTCCGTCATCGACACACACACACACATCAGCTCAAAATTCTTCGTGTTCTCATTGTCGATCGATTCGTTCGTCCAAACATTCGTGCGATACGGCATGCTCAAAAAGTTCATGAGCATCACGTGCTGCTCTTGTTCACACAATTGTAGACGCTTGAGTGTGCATGAGAGGCCCTCGTGAAGCTTCCCCACAGGCAATGGTCCAACAAGGATGCCCAATTTATCCATTTACGTTTAGGTTCATCAATCCTTGTCGGTCGAAACTGAGTCCGAAACCCCCGTGTTTGTTTGTGCCTGAAACTCGTCGATCTGAACTGAGCAGGCACTGTCTTCATTTTTGAGAGCATTAAGCGCAAGCATTACAGGAAATGTTAGTCAAAGTGACCTGGTCCTTTGGCATGCGTTTTTTACCACAAAATACACAGTTATGTTGCAGGATGAATAACCTTTGAACATGTCACCGAGAATTCAAGAAAATAAACTATAAGTTACGGAACATCACCGTATTAGCTCCGACGGTAGTGTGACCGACAACGTAAAGCACGAATATAGAGATTCAGGATTGGGTTTGCCGACTTGTTTCACTTGTGGTCTCAAAAAACATCAGTTTCATGGGGCACGCGTACCAGACAAAAGTTCGGACTGAACTGTTGTACGGTTATGGGATACGGTCATTTCTAGTAAAGCAACCAACGATGTCACGGAACTACAGATGGAAGCTGATGGTAATGCAATCAAAGGATACGCCGGAGCACTGCTAGCTAAGGTGGCTGGGCCATGCCGAATTGCCGCTTGTCGAGACAAGAGCTATATCCATGCACCATTCGGGGTAGCGGAAACCTAGAGGTGGAGAGAATCTAACATGCCAGAAGAGAATTAGGGATGTTGCAAAACCTTGGTGTCGTGTGTGCTGTTCGGCTTTCAAAATGGGGTCCACTTGACCATCTGTGGGTCTAACCGGAAATATTGAACAATATGGGGGCTAACCAGTATCAATGGCAAAAACGCTGTCAGTTCCTTTCCAGATTGTCTGACTAAGTGTCAGGGATGTGGGTACCTTGGGCCTTTGTGATAGACTATTCCAAACCCCCCTCCGTGTTTTGTTTTTGTTTTTCGTTCTTTTCATTATAGTCCTCCTCTACTGTTGCTGTTTCTAATGACGGTAATGGTGATGATGGTACCATAAAGCTGGCTGCCGCATTCTGATCATCAGGGCTTTTGAAAAATGTAAAGATTATTGAACTGCGATCCCCGATCAATTCTCTAAATGTGGCTTTGAGTTCGAACCCATGCACTATTTCATGAACCAACTAGGATTATGTGGTAGAAGCCAGTAAGACATCAACAACACTTTTCTGAAGCTGTAATTTCCAGAAGACGTGTTCATGAGGATGCGGCAGCCGAAACCATGAGCACAGAAAGCTATTGCACAATCGATTCGGCAGACATGGACAGTTCTCTTCAAACATCCAAATATAACGATCACAACTCACACAATAGCCATAGTTAGCAAACTCCGGCTTTGCCAACCCAAAACTTTGCCCTTGAAATCAAGGGCAGTTCTAGAAAGACTGATTTTAACAGAAGATTCAAAGAGGCGCTTGAAATTTTCCCTCATCGAGCCTCTTACTTAAAGACGCATGCACCAGAGTTACTAAACCCGATAAGATGTAGCAAAAATTTCCGTAAAACAAGGGTTTTGGATAGTCTCAGATGTGTGTGATTATTTAACCTCATTTCACGGTTCACCGATGAACAGGCGTATTTAGTTCACGAAAGCGGTTTCAGCTGATGTCCACTGAGGACTTTGATCCATAAACAAAGTACGTTCTATCGTTATTCGGCAAAAAATCATCCCAGAGTTTCCATATATCCCTAAACTTTTATCACAACTTTTTTCATCAAATTTTTAAAACACACACGTCCCAGCATTCAATGAAGAAACCTGATTTTCGGCCTTGGCGGAGAATTCCGTTAGAACTGCGTCAGAGAACGGAAGGATTTGGGTGACAACCAACCGAAAACCGATGCACCACCTGTTGCTGCTGTCAGAACAGTTATGTGAACGATAAGTTTTGTGATCATGTTACTCGAAGCACAGCAACTTTTAGTGTTTTTGGAGGCTAAAAATGCATTCCCAATATACATCCATTTCACCCACTCATGGGGACGCTAAGCAAAACATAGGCTGCTCGTGGCTTTTCCGTAACCACTAGGATTATTTGGTTAGCACAAGCCTTAAGTCATACACGAGTTGTTGAGATAGGTAGACCACGGTTTAACATGGCCTGACGGACGTTATAAGGCTTTATGGATTAATCATAACGAGTCAAAAGATTCAAAATTGTCTGCTTTATTAGTTTTCAAAATAGAGCCATCGAAGATTCATTCCTTTTATTACCCAACACATTCTGGGAAGAAGCTAAAAACTCTTTTAGCTATGAAGCCATTTCGGTACCTAGCTGTCGTGCCACGCGAAGGAAGCACAGGGGATAGCATACTGACAAGTTGCGCAAGCCTAGACAAGGGAAGTCGAGAGGTATGGGTCGGTTTCGAACCACGGACCTTCCTGTCAGTAAATTTGCGCCCCAACTACTGAGCGCGAAGACAAAGGAAATCAGTTTAGGCTGTAAAATCAAAAAGTTCTCTAAATTTGGCTTATCCTTGACAAAACTCATCATCAACCTCCAGTGCCATTCCGGTTGATGGCTAAAGACTGTACCACTAGTGTCTGGTTATGAGTCACTCATACTACCACTTGATCACTGATGGCTGAATAACAGTGTTCAACCACTGTCGGTGAAGGCTTCAAATTGCTGTAGAGGTTAGCAAAATTCGCCCAGCTGATGGTTCTATTGTACTAGTAAATTTGTGATTTTCGCTTGTAGCGATCTGCAGCCTGGATCAATTTCTACACACTAGTTAGTTCATCTGGTAGGGAAGTGCCAAAGCACAAGAGAAAATGTTTTGAAAACTGGTGAAAAGCTAATTGTATGAATAACGCAGAACCAAAGAGTACCTGGAAAGCTTTGCGTAGTTAGTCTCTGCTAAGCGCTTTGACTATTTTCACAGAAACTGTCAACTCAGAGTCACGGACACTCATGGCAACGAACATGCAGTCACAATAGTTAATACACGCCTATTTAACTACTACTTCAGGGGAGAACAGGGGGATAAACTACTGAGTTCTTGCCCCGTACACCGGAGAGAATTACCATCCTGGGTGAAATGATGAGCTTTCTAGGACAGATCGTACCAAGAGCTTCTCTGGCTCCAGGCACTGGTTCCTCAATTTGACCAAAAGACCTCATCCTGAGAAGAATCACTGCTGTGGAGGAACCTGCAATACTAATATGCCAACAGCTATTGCTTGAAAGCCACCGTACTATTACTTCAGGAAAACCACCGAAATATACCACGCCAATAGAGACACATTGAGTAACAAAATGCCATGAGATGCCAAATTGATGTTAGCGTGCAAAATACAACCCTTTCGTACTCACTTGTCGTCGCTTTGTATGTGGTTCCTCATCGTATACCCACTCATCCTCATCATGAGTTATACGAAATGCATAGGTCACGCCCTTGAAAAAAGTCAAGCCGGGGATTCGACCCGATGTACCCTAAAACAAAAATAAAAATAAAAATATCGCGCGCAGCCAGACGAGAAAAAATGACCGACATGGCCAAAACAAGGGGACAGATCGGCAATCGCCAACATTGCGTAAGCTTTTACTGTTTTTAGTTGGCAGGTGGTGTAGTGGCCTTTAGTCAAGTTCTACAGCAGTTCTCCAGTGGCTACTCGTAACCTGCCTGTACGTCTGTTTGTACAATAAAATATTCATACATAGAGTCACGGCATCCTATAGAATGGGCTAGTTTGAAAGCCCTTGACAGTAAAATTCACTGTGATGGATGGATTCTCAGTGAAGACCAACAAAAATACTGGACTGAGTGTTTGAAAATATGGAACTTTACTCAGTAAGTGCAATGCGCACAAAAATTTCAACTCATCCGACCGTAGATCAGTCGATTAGCAATGCAACACCAGATCCGCTCAATGAGCATACCCTTTATTTTAGACCAAGCTGGCGAACCCATTTGACTTATGTTCATCCAGTCAGTGGTCATTTGGAAGTTAATTTAGGCTGTAAATTATTAATTGCCATAGCAGTGTCTTGTTTCGGGTGCTCACGTTTGACAAAAGGATACTGGGATAGAAATCCCTAATACACAGTTGCTAGAAGGTTTCTGATGTCTAGTGAGCTGTTCTCGAATGAGGTGACATAAGAGGAAGCACTAGCTCCGTTTTCAAACATTGCACAATGTCAATAGAAAATGATGATTAAGACTTCAGTTGGCCTTTTGGTGTCGATGATACTATTGATATTACTGAGTCCGATAGCAATAGCGACGACAAAAACAGACAACACTGAAAAAGTTAACAGCTGCTGTCCGTAAAAAATGGCACGGAAGGAATCTGGTAATGTTTGTGAATGTTCAGAAATGTATACAATTTTGGAAAATTTGTTAAGGCCTGCAGATGGGAGAAATCTACTTGAGTGGGCGATTTCAGACCGCATGACGACATAATTCTCCACGTTCAGTTTTTCTGGCTAATTTTCACCCGCAGTCTGCTAGAGCTGGGTCGGTCGCCTCTGAAAGGCGTCACTACTTCAACATACGTTTGTGTGCTTTCAAAAATGCTGAAATAGCTTAGTGTGACGTTTTGCTATGGCACGTGAGAAGTCCACGCCTTGTTCGAGGAGTTACATATCACTAAACGGGTAACGCTGAGTACCAGCTATTTACTTCTTTCTTGGAAGAGTATTGACTGATCAATACTAATGCATTTGAAAGCTGCCGTTTTTTTGTTACCATAGTGGAGATTGTTTATCTGTGTATCTGAATAATTTATCCCTGAGTGGTTATAGTGAGTAGAAAAATGTGGCACCCAACTCATGTTGCTTTCAAACGGTGAACGCCGCAACCAAATTCTGCGAACTGTTGTGCGGTAACTCCATATGAGGGCTGGGCGTAAAAACCATGAAGGTCGGAAATAGATTTTGCGGTTCTGTAGCCTGCATGTCTTCAGTAACGCATTTATGTTCATTTTGACGGTGGCCCAAGATGTCTAACACTTCAGCGTGTGTTATGAGATGTATCCAAAACAAAATACATCAGCTATCATGAAATAGCCGCGAGATATCTACGGTTTCACCCAAATGCGGTCCTTGTGAAATGCATACACTCTTCTCCTGAAATGAATCCCTGCAGCTGACGCAATATTGTGATCACTGATTATTTCGTAGAAGACTCCAGGTTTATTACAGTATCTGCCTTCTTGTGACAAACCGGGTTAATATCAAAAAACCTGACCCGGTTCCTAA